TAATAATAATAATAATAATAATAATAATAATAATAATAATAATAATAATAATAATAATAATAATAATAATAATAACATTTACCCTCTTCCACTTATATTAGTTTTCTTCTCAGAAGTTTAACACGGAAGAGAAATGCGTTACGAGTCGATAATATATTAGCACAGTTCGATCGTCGATTTTCTGATCACTCCGTTGTATCAAACATAATTTTTTTACTGAGTAACATCTGTTCAGCAAACGAGATGTATAACGTGTATTTTCTATTCACTTTCGTTATGAGAGTTTAAAGCATTTATGGTCTTTTTGTTGAACAAATCAGTTTCAATAATGGATCGCTAATGACGACGGTTATTTACAATTAGGAATAATCAGACTTTATTTCATCAGTAATTAGACCTTATCGGTTAACAACAGCCAGAAACTTATTTTTGTTGATACGTTGAAATATAATTTCTAAATAACACGGTATTAATAGCCCAATAAGACAAGTAAATAATTCAGGGTACTATAGTCATGAAATGGGTCCAAATCATTTTTCTATATAAATCAACTGTGAGTAAATGATCATTTATTTATTATGTCATTGACAATATGAACATACAGTACACTACATTGTAACATATAATTATTGATATCAGTATTAGTATGGTAACAGATGATCATATATTTTAATAAATTACTAAATGTTAACATGTATTGTAGAATGTAACATAACACATAACTTATAGTAGTTTCATACACTAATACCTCTTTCCTACTTTTAATGTCATTAAGGCATGCTGTGCATCAGCATGTCCTTGTGCAGCTGCTTGTTGGTATAATTCAACCGCTTTCATAATATTTTTTTCTACTCCAATGCCATTTTCATAACAGTTACCAAGACTATATTGTGCATTAATATTTTCTTGGTCAACTGCTTTTTGATATAATTCAACTGCTTTGTTATTATCTCTTTCTACCCCAACCCCATTTCTATAACAATGACCAAGATTATTCTGTGCACCAGCATCTCCTTGTTCAGCTGCTTTTTGATACAATTCAACTGCTTTTTTAGCATCTTTTTCTACACCAACACCATAACTATAACAATAGCCAAGATTATTCTGTGCATCAGCATTTCTTTGTTCAGCAGCTTTTTGGTATAGTTCAACCGCTCTTTCATCATTTTTTTGTACACCAACACCATTTTGATAGCAAACACCAAGATTGTACTGTGCAGAAGCATGCCCTTGTTCAGCTGCTTTTTGATATAATTCAACTGCCATCTCATCATTCTTTTCTACCCCAACTCCAAAAGTATAACAATCACCAAGATTATATTGTGCATTAGCATGTCCTTGTTCAGCTGCCTTTTTATATAATTCAACTGCCTTTTCATAGTTTTGTTCTACCCCAATTCCATTTCTATAACAGTCACCAAGACTATATTGTGCATTAGCATTGCTCTGTTCAACTGCCTTTTCATACAATTCAACTGCCTTCTCATCATTTTGTTCCACCCCAATTCCATTCCTATAACAATTCCCAAGACTATATTGTGCAAAAGCATGTCCTTGTTCAGCTGCTTTTTGATATAGTTCAGCTGCCTTCTTATCATCTTTCTCTACTCCAATTCCATGGCTATAACAATAACCAAGGTTACACTGTGCAGCTACATAACCTTGTTCAGCTGCTGTTTGATATAATTCAACTGCCTTCTTATTATCTTTTTCTACTCCATTTCCAAGGTTATAGCAATTACCAAGCTTGTTTAGTGCAACAGCATGATTCTTTCCTGCTGATAATTCATACCAATAGACAGCGTGATTAAGATTTTTGGTAACTGTTATTCCACATTCATAAAAGAAACCAATTAACCAAAAACATTGGCCACAATCTATATGATCCTTGAATTTTTTAATAGGAGGATGTTGGTGTTGATAATAACCATTATGTGCTAACCAGTTTTTGATTGAATCAGCAATCTGTTCTTGACTTTTGCCTCTGACTAACTCTTCCAGGTATTTACTTGACACCCCATCAGACAATGGATGCTCTGAAGCTGTTGTGAGTTGAGCTATCATGTGTAAGTCATCAATAATCTGCTCACATGATGGTCTTATCTCAGGTGTATCATGCCAGCATGCTGAATATAGTCTGATATATTCTTCAGGAGTTTCTGGAACTGGAGCATCTCGTTCACCATTTAACCTATAGCTTACAATGTCAGTATAAGACAGGAGTCCATCACATGGTTTTTTCCCACCCGAAATTTCCCATAATACCACTCCAAAACTAAATATGTCTGACTTTTTATCCCGTTTAGTGTTGGTGTCATATAAGCATCTGGGGTCAAGATAAGGAAGAGTCCCTTGAATATTTGAATGACTTTTTTGCTGTATGATAAGATCTGACAACCCAAAGTCTGTTATCTTGGCCACACCAGCATGGATTAATATATTATGTGAAGACTAATAACAGAGTTGTAAATTAATGTCAAATATTCAACACAACATGATACTATGAGCTGTTGTATAACAATATCGATAGTTACCAGATCCTTGTGCAATATATCAAGTTCATGAAGATATCGTAGCCCGTCAGTGATATTGATACCAAGCTTACATCTCGCAAGCCAATTCAATTCAACAGAGGGATCTGATAAATAGCGTCTCAATGAACCGCCCTCGGCATATTCAAAGACCATAACAAATTTCTTTTCCGGATCTTTTTAATTGAAAGAAATGGAAGCCCACTATTACTATTAATGTCATAATCACATGTCGCAACCTAAACCTGTTCAATGCTTACCCTCACTTACTCCGAGGAATCGAATTATGTTGAGATGGTCATCAACCTTGCGATGAATCTTGAGCTAAAATATAATTGCGTAATCTAAGTAACGATAGCATCCAAATTTAAATCATCGTTATAAGTACCAAACCTCTTTGAGAAAGTCTTTGAGCATCTCATCTTCATTTTGTGAATGGAGGAGCTTGTATGCGACCGTTCTACCAAGTGTCTTTGCTTTTGCTTTGAAAACTACTCCATATCCTCCACCGCCGATGCATACCGGATCAATAAAGTCCTTGAAAGGGTAATAACGAATGCTTCCATCTTCAATATTCTTCCTTAACCATTCCTTATCTGAAACAATAGAAGCCATGTTTGTTGCCGACAGGACGGAAAGTTTGAGTAGTGTGTGTGACCAATAAATAACACGTGATATGGCTAAGACCGAAAAAGAAAATACGGCACGTTACACCCATAAGGTGCAGAGTTTTCAATTGTCCTTTTGCATAAAGTTTAGAGTGTGTCAAAAAAAAAGCGCATGTCCTATGTAATGTCCGATGTCCTATGAGACGCAGCTTTAGTTGTGATTGGATATATCCAAAAGTCATACGTTGTCGTCGTTCCAGAAAATCATAACGATAAAATCTCGGCTTTCAAATAAACTATAAAATCATGTAATTTAGTCCATTCATTGGTTCTCCAACTTTGTTAATTTAATAATAATAATTAATAATTTAATCTATATGACCGTGATCTGTTACACCATCAACGTGTATTAGATGAGTTTAGTATTATAACATGCCTCTATGTCTAAATCAAACTGTTTAGCAAATCGAAATTTAGTCAAGTCGACACCGAGTAAACCGTCGAGGCGTAGATAATCGCCTTTTCCCCGACGTAACAAACTGTTGGTGAAAGGGTTGTATTACTGATCATGCGGTGAGATTACATTATATGGAATCCACATATCATTTGCTGGTATTTGTTTATAACATTTATTATACAGCATTACAGAAAAAATCATTACGAATATAACGTCTACTATTCTCATCATGCTTGTTCGTGCAACTTATAGTGCAAAAATGAGTATTTGAAATATGGTCTATTAATGTCATCGGGTATACACGTCGCCAGCGCGTTTCTTCTGCCTTCTGCAGCATATAGTACGAACAGTTCAACAGTTCATCTTCGCCACCAATTGCTTGAAACCAGTCAATTACCAAAAATATATACGTGTTTGCATTATTGGCCTTATGGTGAACAATTGCTTAAATTATCGCAAACGAATTTCCCTCTTCCTCTTCTTTTACATCAATCACATCTCCAACATGCAAGCGCACATTAGCTTCAACTTCCTCATCACATCATAGGAAACGTAATTGTAGTACTCAAGACCTTTGTTCATCACCGCTGCTGTCATTCCCATATAATCTGAATATGCAGCGGAAAGTCTTTATACAGAGGATTATCAATATCAAATCGGTTTGAAAATCCTGCGGCATCAATTTGTAAAGTGTTCCATTTTTTGTGCAACTTTATATTGACAAAATGAGGGTCAAGCGGCGAAATGGCATGGGATGTTCCTTAAAAAGTAAAATTTATTTAAATGTGGCACAGACTCGTGCATCTCAAATGCATGATGGTAATAATAATAATAACAATTTTCAAACCTTCGATATCCGCATTATTTTCTTCTTTTAGTGATGGTGCCTCGATTGCATACCAGCCAGACAATAATTTTTCAGACATTTTTTGCTGGAACCTGCGGTATCCATCAACCAAGTGTCTTAGTGCTTGAATCGTATTGTATCTTCTCATAAAGTCAATTTCTACATTTTTGCGATTGGTATGTCCTACCATCCCCTTAAAAATGCGATAAACCATTCTTTTACGCCTACTGACGTGTTGCGAAATTTTTTGCATCATCAGGTAAATGAACATTCAGATGGAGATTTGGCAGATTATGAAAATCCTCCGGAAATGCCTAAATACTTTGTCTGTTAAAGAAAATTTATGGCATTTTTGTATCGAAAGGCTTTAGAACTTACCTCAACCAGAACGCGGCTTTGTTCATTTAAGATATGGCTGAGATCTTGTTGATCGTTGTTATTTAAAGAGACTTTAAAGGCACGCCTTTGCTTCAGTTACCCAGACTTGTATTACCTTGGCTGGTACCTGATCAATACGTGATAAATTTAAACGTCGTTTAATTGATTGCAATATATCACTTTTTATATAACGCCAGGTGAGGAAATGTCGAAGAATAAATGGCGTTAACATAGCCAATTGCAATACATCTGAAAACATAAAACTCTGTCTATGCATGATCGGGTTCGGTAGTTTAGACCATCGGGATGGTTTTGTTATCAGCTTCCAATGACGCAGCCATTCAGATTCACCATCGGAAGTCAACAAACTGAATGTTACAATAGTCTACGGGTTTTACCACCCATTGCGTGGTATGCATCACGAGATGACGATCCCACGTTAGATTTTCAACTGGCTGTGGAATCAAACTTATCCATATTCAGTAGCATATCGTTCCCTTGCAGTTATAGTTGGTAATACCATCGCTTCTGCATATTGGTTATCAGTTAAATGACTGAAGCGTGCATTAGCCAAATAGTCAAAGTGGCTGTCAGTTAATTGTTCTTTATGCACAAAGCAAGCACGACAACCAAAATTTGCACAGTGCTTTTGATATCTGCAAGATCATTTCCCTGCGGAAGATCTGCAGTATCCCTCCAATAACCCAATAATTTCCGTTGTCTGTGTTGATCATAATACCGCGTTCAAGTGACTTGATTTCATTACGAAGCAGCCCAAAAAATTCATAAACATCACCCCCGAAAGGTACAAACCCAAGTAAAAAATGATTCTTTAACTGTTTCCTTAGTTTAAATAGCATGTTTCCAAATTGTAAATAGACACCCCCAAGAGTGTGATAAACATTCCGATACGTTCCAAAGTCATCCAAGTAAATGTCAAGAAAAAAATTTCCTTATTGGCACATTTGGCAGCGGAGGATGTTGTACGTCAATAATACGTTCACTTGGTAGTCCTCTTATATATCTCCCCCGTATTTTCCAAGAGTTGTTGAAATGATATAAAATTTCATTTACAATGAAATTATATTCTGCAGGTTCTGGGTTATCGCTTGTTTCACGCACATCTTCTTTTCTTATTATTAAGGGAAAACCTTCGACTAACCATAATGCCTTATTTTGAGCATTTTCTCGTGCTGCGCTATGTTAGTGTCCTGGTATTCTCGAATATCTGACTAGCTCATCAACTTTGAAGCAGAATCCCTCGTTAAACTTCACAATGGACCTGATGCGGGCCACAAAATTTTGAGATCGTGATTCTACTCGTCGTTGACAAGTTATGAAACTACCCGCATGATAAATGACTAATTAAGAAAAAGTTAAGTTAGACAGTTGTCATAGTCTCCAATAAAATAATCGAGTATTTGTTTTGCTGTATTTCTTGACTGTAATAGAATATTAATTTTTCAAGCTATGCAGACCACGATAAAAGCAGTCGATAAATACTAGCAAGTAAACATATAAAAATAATAACCTCCGTTGATATCTAAAGTATTCTGTCCAAATAGTGGAGACTCCTTCCAAATTTCTCCATGTCAAAATTCGGTCGTTTCTTCCACTTCTATACCGCTTCCGAAGTACATTTGAGAACAGAGTCGAGGGTTGTTCAGTATGCGTTCTATTGTTTCCCTCAATGAGATGGTATACGCATCTTTAGTTGGTATTGCAGTTGATGGCGTATTTTTCGTTATTATTTTAATTTCATGGCTGCGAATTTTTGATAATGGCAACCTATTCCGCTAGTAGGCACAATGTCATCTATCACAAAATCTTCGTGTTGCACAAGATCTTTGCTAAATAACATTCGTATTAGTAAAGAATTTAAAAGCATTCTAAATAAACGGCAAAGCGCTATGACATGTACAAATCACCCATATGAAAAGCACGGTAGCAGTAAAATTTGGAAAGTAAGGACCATAAGCTCCATTAAACGAGTTCATGTTTTGTGATGCTTCATCACAAGTTTTAGCATTCAGATCATGCATATTAATATCATTCTCCTCCTCAGGGTATTGATTGAAATTTTCGCTATTAAACAATTAATATTATAGAATTAATCTACAGTCAGGTTACGGTCATTGAAATGTTAGTAAAGTAATGTCATACCCATCGATTTCTAAATCGACACCACTGGATTCAGACCCTTGTTCAATGTCGGCTCTGGTGTAAATAATTGCTTTAATAATATTTTTAACTTCAGTAAAACAGTGACAAAAAATTCGTACTCTCTGTTGTACTCTTCACGCAGCCGCTGAGAAGCGTCATATTGATTGAAATAAAACGCCTTTGATAATTTAGAAAGTTAGATGAAGGGTATCATTAAAGATTAAGTCAGTCAAATATTCAAACATACGTTTTCATGTGATGCTTTTCGTGTAGGTTTTGTCTTTGGTTTTCTCGGCCTATATCTATAGAGATATCCCGAAGTTTCAATTTTCGCATGCGCACTCTTGTCATCTACCGGTAATAATAGTACGATAACAAGTTAGAAAAACTTGTTTATTGACCAAACGTATGTAATGCGCGTGCTTTTTTAAACTAATATTTTGTACAACTTCATTGTTATTATCTCGCACTTGAATCTTTTATCACCCAAATACATTATCAATCGAACAATACTACCGTCTGATATTTCTTTATCTGCAATCGAACAATACTATCGTTCGAGTATTTTATTATTGTTATCCTTGTCTCTCAATTGAACAATATAATATTATTATTACCCGAGTACATCATTATTGCCTTTTTGACAACACTACGTTCATTATGCATATTTGGAACTTACCTGTCTCAAGTTCTTATTATAATTAAGATCATCGTTGAATAACTCAATTTCGAACAAAAGGTCATGCCATGTTGCAAGACAATATCCTTAACGCCGATATCGACCTGCATTTTCTCTCGATAAGTGCCGACGTAATGTCACACAACTAACTCGCAACTTGCAGAATTTCGTTAAATGAGTTCTAAAGTCTCTCACTGATTCGGCCTCTTTCATTCGAAAGGTTTACAAGCGCTACCGATTTTGTCTAGTCAGTTGATTGAAAAAGGACACCATATTTGTAATAAAAGAACCAACCAATCTATTATTAAAAACATCCACATACAGACGATCTTCTATCTCACGCTATTACAGATTGCCAACATTAATACTAGAAAAATACACAGTAGTTATATGATTAGCGTGCTCACCCTATTATTTTCCAACGTCATCGTCTTCGCTATCATCATCAATTCTCTGTCTCTTCGCTTTCGAATTGAGATAGCAAGGTCCAGTATGCGTTTATAATCGGAGACCCAGGTTGCAATCTCGTATTCGTTCTTCGTGTAGGTAAATTCCTGGGGTAAGCCAGATGAAGTCGATGATGATGGAATTGGTGATGGTGTCGGCGATGGAGGTGATGGTATCGGTGATGGAGGTAATGGTATCGGTGATAGAGGTCCTGACGATGGAATATCTTCAAATGCTGATTGATGAAAGAGGATAATGAACAGCGGTTCATGAATACTCTAACAATTATTGATAAACGTAAACATGTACATACGAAGACATTCTGCAAGTGTTGGTAAATGTGGTGCTTGTTTTGGAGGAGGAACTGTTGAACACAAATATAAAATATTATAATGAGTGTTGTGTAATGATGATAATTAAAGAAAGTCTTGTCACATATTGACTTAGGTGGAAACACACCTTTTCCTTCCGACGATCAGTTCATTGTCTTCATATTTAGTTGGTTATCATGTGACTCGTCTACGAGTTTCTTCTTTTCACTATCACTATTGCCGAACTGCAGCACGGTCGTATTATCGATAAACACATATCCGCGCTTCCTTGTAAAGGATAGAATTTAATTAGCTAACAGTATATCACAAAAGCGCGTTTATGTCCAGTAAACTTACGTTACAGTGACTCCTATGGACAAATTCCGAAATACGTGCCACACATACTAGGCATGTTTGTTAGTAGGCAGCTAAGAATGAGACAAGACGTGCGGAGAGCGTGAGTTTTTGCACCTGGGAGATGATGATTGTGTCTGAGTCGGAACAGATTATGGTTTTGATTGAACCATAGATAGTAGTGCTGGTAGATGAGACGAAGCGGACAACGGCTTATAGTAAATGATTGCCGTATCGGTGGCGGAGCATACGATAATTCTGATTGAGGTGTAAAGTGTGCTTTGTCTGAAGTGCATTAGATGATAGCTGAAGGGTAGCAAGTGGTGGTATCGTCTGTGCAGTTGAATTCGAAGAGCAGCAGAGATAGCCGCGCCGTTTGGAATCTAGTTAAATTTTCCATCTTTTTTGGTGTTCGGCCTTACGTTCTAATCTTTCCTGCTGGTCAGTATTTTGTCCAGCCGCCCAAAAAGAAAAAGTTAACTGTTCGGTGGGGTTTAGGTTTTTTTCTGTCCCTGTGTTTGAGAAGACCCACAATGACTCATGCTTTTGCAGAGTATTTTAACAGAAGTAAATGGTAGTTACACCTGAAATGTAATAGGTGGCATTGTCAGACGCGTCGTTGATGGCGGTTGCGCCAGTGTAGCAGATAGTGTTCGAGACAAAGCCGCTGATTGAAGTGGAATAGACGGTGTTGCTGGTTGAAGAGGGGGGTTGAGGAGGAAGTAACTGGGGACACAGTTGTTGAGGTGCTATTCCATTGCCGCCAATGTTTGGCGGAAGCTAAGGACTTCCGTGGTCAAACTATTCACAACAACAAACTTTGTTACTCACTTCTATCGTTAGTCTCATGTTTGAGCTGAGTAATTTTAGTCGGTGAATAAGCTTCCACTGATTCGGTTTCACTTAACTCTCCCTCCTTCCTCTCGTCGTCTATTTGTGCAATTTGAGGCTTTTCGTCCGACTTTTCCTTTTCCTTCCGTGACTTGCGTGTTGATATTGGTCAGGTATATCCAATAAATGTGGTCAGTCAACCAGCGTCTATGTAATAAACCAACATCACAAGATGTCAAACGATATTTTGAACGAACGGCCCTCCCAAGGTCTGTACACAAGCGTGCGTCAGTTGTTGAGTTGAATAAAAGCTCATCTGTGCACGGAGCTCGAAGAGTATACTAATTGGGGTGTCGATCAGCGTGTGAGAAAGGAGAAAAAATGTGGGAGAGTGAGGGGAAGACATTGATAGATTGCGACCAATACGAGATTGTAATGAAGTCGTTAATAAATTGCGACGACGACTTGGTATCAATACGAGATTGTAATAAAGTCGTAAATTGATTGCTACGATCAAATTATTTCACAATCTTGCGTACACGTGCCCACAATATCGTTGCGAGCGCGTACAGATGTAGCAAGCGATCCGAGATCGCTGCAAACTCGCGTGACCAATATTTTTTTCAACCTCTATTCCATTGCCTATGCCCACAATCATATGATCTTTGAGCTGTTTAACAAGAGAATAATGTTGAAACAATCCATTCTGTACTAACCAGTTTTTGAACAATCTGCTCTAGCCGTTTTCCTTTCCTTTTAATAGCCCTTCCTCATATATTAATATATTTGATAGCTCATCAGCAAATGGGTGGTTATTTGTTGAACCATCATGCTTAGTCTATTATATTACATATCTGTTCACAGGATAGTCGTTTTTCAAGAGTATCATCCCAACACTCTGAATACAATGTGATATAACCTTCTAAAACTGGAGCGTCTCGACCACCATTTAGTCTGTAAGCTACAATATCATTAACATGCTGAAGCCCATCGCGTGGTCGTTTTCCGCCAGATATTTCCCATAGTACTACTCCAAAACTAAATCTGACTTTTCATCGCGCTTAGTAGAAGGATCAGAAGAGCATCTGGGTCAAGATATGGAAGGGTTCCTTTAATGTTTGAATGGCTTTTTTGTTGTAGAATGAGGTCGGACAGGCCGAAATCTGTTAACTTCGCGACACCGGCATGGATCAATATAGTTTGGGAGGACTAATAATAAATTACCCAATTATCATAGGTATACTAAATGTAATGTCTTTGCGTACACATCTATAATCACCAAATCTTTGTGCAAGATACGCTGATTGTGAAGATGCTTCATCAATGCATCTATTAACAAAGTTTACGTTAACATCATTTAGTAACAAACCCGGCGTGCGATTGCTCAATGCCTACCTTTGCTCACTCCAAGGAACCGGGTTATGTTGGGATGATCGTCAACGAGACGATGGATTTTAAGCTAAAAATTTAGGTAGTTTACGTAGGTCAACAATAATCAAATATAACTGACATTATAATAGCCAATCTCCTTGACAAAGTTTTCAATCATCTCATCTTCATTCTGTGAATGCAGAAGTTTGTATGCCACCGTTCTACCAAGTGTTGAAGACTACTCCATATCCACCACCACCAATGTATATCGGGTCAGTAAAGTCATCGAAGGAATAGAAACGGATGTTTCCGTCTTCCCATGTTGTTACCACAGTATTAAAAAGTTCACTTTTGTCGCACAGAAATAAATACTATTAATTGTAATTTACCATTTTTCTAGACGTTAAGTGCAGTCTTAAGCTTGGAAATTAGAACCTAGTTAAGATGATGAACACTGCAGGCTTGCTTGGTTTGTTCTACTTATTCATTGATATACCAAAAGTATAAAATTAAACCCTCCTTGAATCTATTACTATCTGCATGTTCTTATTTATCTCTCATATGAATATTAATATGCTAAGAGCCCAAGTCCTATGACTATTACTACAACATGTATTATTTGCAGTTGGATATAAATATTAAACATTGGTTTAGTTGTGATATCTATCAGCAAAATGATTCTGCAAGCTATTCTTATTCTGCCTTCTACTTCCTAGATTATCAACAGTGGAAAATATTTCTCCAAAGTTGTTGCATTAAAATTTTGTAATTGTCATAGGGATAAAAGCGTTGGTTTATGCGCAATCGGACAAAAGTTATTTACGATTAAGAGCTGGAAATAGCTGTTATTTATTATCAGACAAGGATATTGGCATAATAATAACACATGTGAATAAATATTAATATTAAAGATTGGCCTCGCTTCACCATTAAAGTCTTCTCACTTTCCAGGCCACAGTTTCCATCCTTTCTCTTTGAAATACTTGTGCGCCTAGAATAAGAAAAATAGTCTATTAGTTCTCTCAACCAGTCCAAAATCGATGCGTTTACATGCTCTTATACTTACATCGATCCACAATTTGAATGACAGAAATAGTTGAATCGAGATCAAAATTACACATAACGCAGAAAATGCTCCAGCTACGTAATGCTTATCCCTAAAGCTATAGACAAGAGCACTTATTCCACCGCCTCCTCCGTACGACCACCCTACCAGGATGAAAATACCAAAGAGTATATCGAATCCTTGTATAACAAAGAACCAGCGAAAACTTATTTTACTATCATTTCTGCAAAGTAGTAAAAGACAAAGTAAGCATATGTTAAATAAATGCAATTATAAAATGCAGAAAGTTTGAGACTTCACTTACTTCAATCCCTGGTATAAGCTGTAATGTCGAGCGAAGAAATCCATGGGCGGCACAATCAAAAGATAAACGATTCCTAATACGATCCCTAATAAGACGTTCTTGTACGTTATTTCCTGAACAATCATTGCTGCAAGATTGCCAAGCAATGCGACATAGTAGACTGACGAACAATAGACACTGTAGTTAGCATTCATTACGTTCGGCAAACGCTTTACTCACTGTATAAACAGACATAATCATATCCTACATAGAAATATAAGGTATGAACGCTTCGCTAATGCCTGAGCCTCATCCAGCAATATATCGGCCTCGATGTCATGCCTAATCATAGGACGAAAGGGAGGCCTAAAGCAGTAAACACAGATTGTAAGGTGACATTCATCAAACTCTTCAGCGAACAAACAGACTAATAATACACTTGTAGTTAATGCGAATACAAGATTATCAAAGGTTTATCAAGTGCTCACCAGTTCTTGTCTCCAGAATCGGGCATAGTCTCCTTATATTGTTATAGATATATGTATGTATGCAGAAACTGTGTGTCGGAAAAGAATATTGCGAACGGAAAGATTTAGCACACAAAATATGTATGAAGAGATCTTCCGCAGCACTAACCAAATATAGTAATTTAATCAGCATATCTGCAGACAATCAAATAACGTTAATATGGGCGGATTTTCGGCTCCGTGTGAGGTACAATATGAGCGTTGACTAATTTAGCCCATGAATAGGATGCAGGCCCATTTATCGAATGATCAATAATTGACGACATTTCAACTGTGATGAGAAAGAACATGGCTAGTGTCGAAGAACTAGTATTAATAAACTCATTATCCGTAATAGTAATTGGGTTTTTTTTGGATATGTAAATTTTCGATGACATAAAACAAGAGAAGGATCATTAACTTAGGCATCGTATTGCAGTTAAATCATTCGCTCTTCTTAATGCAACTGTAATATCGTCAATAAAGTCAATGTGAGAGACGTATTAATAGAATACTAACGAGTGGATAAACGTCTCCTAGCTACGTAGTAATTGTTTTTAAAATATAACACACATTATGTAATAACATTCGTATCTTTTGTAGCCCATCAACATTTTTACTGTATAGTAATTCGATTAATACTAAAACTACATTTTGTTATTAAAATAAAACTTGCTTTAGTGGTCATCTGTATTTAGACAATATAATTTAAACGTTTAGTAAGCACTTTACCAAATCGCCATTTACAAATTCCTATACAGAATTGGCTCACCACTGGTATAATGACAGGCATACTAATCCAGTTAGTTGCAATATAATTTGTCATATATGTCAACGACTAGTTAATCTTATATTTTCATAAAATATATATATATCTTTCTCAGTTGTTCTTTCATATACATATGTAACTCAAGTGTTTTCTAATACATGCTTCTACTTTCTTTTCTAACCCCAGATTGTATGTTGATACTATTGTGGTTGTTTCATCCAATTCCATATCTTATATCTATATCTATTTTGTGCTTGTAGTCTTCTGAGAGAATTTTGAGCTCTAGCTGATCCTTGTTCAACAGCTTTTTTATACCATTCAATTGCTTTTTGTTCATCCTTTTCTACTACAATTCCATTCTCATAACACCAACCAAGCATACATTGTGCTTGAGCATCCCCTTGTTCAGCAGCTTTTTGACACCATTCAACTGCTTTTTGTTCATCACTTTCTACTCCAGTTCCATTCATATAACATACAGCAAGGTTGAATTGTGCATTACCATACCCTTGTTCAGCAGCTTTTTGATACCATTCAACTGCTTTTTGGTTATCATTTTCTATTCCACTGCCAGTCTCATAACACACACCTAAATCATATTGTGCAGTAGCATTGCCTTGTTCAGCTGCTTGATGGTATAATTCAACAGCCTTTCCAGCATCTTTCTCTACTCCAATTCCATGTTTATAGCAATAACCAAGATTGTACCATGCATATGCAGTAACATTTCCTTGTTCAATTGCTCGTTTGTATAATTCAATAGCCTTTTCAAGATCTTTTTCTACCTTATATTGCCCTTGTTCATTTTTACTTACAACTGAATCAAGATTATACCTTTGTCCTGTTCTTGGTAATAGAATTGTAGTGCTTGGGACATAATTTTTGTTCATTTGGCAATTGAGTGTATCACGACGCAATTTTCTTGGTAATAAATCATCAAATAGAAGAACCTTATCAGGGGACATATTGAAGAATCTAATGTAAGGTATACAATCTGCTATAATGCCTTTCACTGTGTTGATATCATGGGATGACCAATTATCTAGATCATTTCCAAGTTCTCTCTCAGGTACTTGTTTAATGGCCCACTGCATAACTGACATCCAAATCTCTTCTTCTTCCATGCTGAGGTCATCATTTTTGAGAAGATCAATCAAGGTCTCTTTTGGTAAAGTTGCAAAATCATTTGATTTAAATACAATATCTGGGTGTGAAACCATAAGCTGATTGCAATAAGCCAAAAGCCTATTCAAAGGGGTGGTAGAAAGAGCATACTTATAAACTCTAATGATATTTTGCTGAATCCATCCTGTTTGTTTCTCAATCAAATAAGTTTCAAGTGCAATGAGAAGATCAAGCAATTCAAGTTTAATAGCTCCATTCAGAAGACTAATCCAATCTGCAAGTTTACAGGAATCATAGGAAATATGCCCAGTATAAATAAACCTGCAGAAAGAAGTAATTTATTTAAGAAAAAAGAAATTATTATTATCTGACAATTAGATACTGACTTAGGTCTGAGCAGTAGTGCATGGCTAGTACTAGGGTCACCTACACCCCATTATGATCTCTGGGAGTATTATATTATGTTGATATAAGCATAAACATAAATTTTACCTAAGCAGAATTTCGAAAACATCAGGTGTCAAATCCTCCAGTATCATGGCAGTTTTTTGAATCTCTTTAGCATTAGATGTCCCTGAATTTCTGGTTAAGCTATTCTCAAAGAATGAGCATTGTGCACACAGTATTTGTGTATGAGTGAAAAATATTTTGCAATTTGGTTCCTTTCCAACATGAATTGAAAGGTCCGCATATTTGCCGCTTTTGTAA